TAATAATTCTGAGGCAAGTTTCCCTCAGCAGTGCGTATTGATTATTTGTGTGGGGTGAGAGATTTGGAAAATTCAATTAAAGGGGTTGTGCAAAGGATTCATAAATTCAGCCCCTCCGACCCGTATCAAGACATGGTTATGTTCTAAATCAATGCTGCACTTCACAATATATTTTCTTAGGACCGTGAAAAATAAATAACATTTAAACAGTTCTGCTTACTGCAGAAACAAATTCTGTCTCATGTAAAGACTTTTTAGGTGGAGTCAGGTACTGATGCGCGCATCGTCAGAGTGGTAACATACTTTTATTGCAGTTTTTCTCATAAGGAAATCCCATTTAATATGAATTTTGAGATGACAAAATGAGGGCAAAGGGTAGAGCTCAGCAGAGTAAAAATTGATCAGACCATAGAGGGAACCGCATTGGGGAAGATTTGTATGGCTGCAGTAATGGACTGTATTAAAAAGATTCCTTAAGATGTCATAAAAGTGATGGGACGGTGTCACAAGGTGTAGACCCGTCTGCTTGGAAAGCTTGAACACTCAAGCACATCAATTTTAGGAGGGGGGGGTGCGCTATGGACAGATGCCACATTCCCACTGTGTGTTTTATGATTGAACTTGTGGTTGTAATTAAAGGTGAGAGTTTTATATTCGATGGCTTTGATCAAAGTGAACCAAAAATGCTATCAGTCTTGTAGGCTTTAAGATTTGAATCTGGATTTAGTTAACGCCATAACTCTTTTTATAAGGTCCATATAAGCCTTTATACCTCCGTGTTTATTTATATAATAATGAGACAAGGAAGAATTATGTACAGTGCCATAAAGTATTCACACACTTTCAACTTTTTTACATTTGTTTCAAACAAATTTTATTAGAATTAAGGATGGGTGATACCCTAAAAATTCATACAACTAAATCAGTTTTTATTATATCACATTGTATTTTGAAACAATAAAAAAAAAAAAATCATAATTTCAAATGTATATTAAACTTGTTATGGGACATTTAATTAATCCATGCAAAAAAATGGTACATACATTGATATCACAATATATTTATTTACTTCTTCCCTTTTTGCTCTGTTTATTCCTCAGAAGACTAATTTCAATGATTCTTGAAATCATCTCTTCCCTCTTAAAAAAATTTGCATTTCAAAAGTTCAGAGGGCGTTCAGCCCAAAATTTATCTTCCGGGTCAGTGAGCAGTTAGTGAATAAGGTTCAGTTGTGTGTGAAGGTCCAGTGAAGGTCCCTGGGTTTTGGTGGAGAAAATTAGTGCAGAAACAGCATCTTAAAAACCAAGGAACACCGCAATAGACTAGAGATAAGTAATGTCACACCTTGAGCCATAATACTGCAAGGTGATTGTTTTGAGTTGAACTCAACCAATTTGAGCTGGAGCGGTACAAGATGGATTCTTGTGTGTTTGTGAATACATAAAAACTGTTAAAAAAATCAGCCATGTTCAAGGTAAGAAGCTCTCCATTACGTAACCTCAAACATATCAGTGTGCATTTATTTGCACGTGTAACTCACAGCACACTGAAGCAATAGTGATTTCTTTTTTTTAAATCAGTGAGCAGCCCTGTTACTGTCTGTGACTATATGCCTCGTCACACAAAGGATTATGGGATTCCTTATAGACTCCAGGCACCAAATAGGAACAATGGAGGGTCCCTTTGTTAAAGGAACTATGATAGGAAGCATCTAGCTTCCTTTTCCTAGCTCCTTCCTTACAGTCAGCACTATTTCAACCCCTCTAATCATGGTACCGCTGACAATTATCTGGTTTGGCTTTAGAGTTCTTACTGATTTGCAGTATTCAGTTTTAGCTTTATCTTTGATCAAATAAAATAATGATATAAGGACCCAGCCAAAGTTCAAACTTAGATCCAGCTAAGACTCTGAGGCATTTCATAAACTTTTGAAATAGACAGATTTGCTTCATCGAGTCTGACTAAATGTGAGCCTTTATGCAAAGAATAAGCAAAGATTCCAGTCCCTAGACATGCAAAGCTGCATGATAGAAGCTAAAACAATATAAAAAAAAACTAAAGACAAACTTTTTGTAATTGCAGGGGAGTCTATGGTCCCTTTTCTTATGCTGAAACTTTTTTTTTTTTTATGTCGGGTTGGATGAAATCATTTACCTGCTGCCTGCTTAAAGGACGAGGGATGGACAGAGAATATTGCACTGCAGAGGAATGGTAGCACTAAACTTTCTACTAAGTTTTTTGGTCAATAAAAAGAGCAAAATTGCATTTAAAATCAAGCTAAAATAGCATTTGTTTACAAAACATGTGCATCATTTTAAAAGGAGCTTTGTAGCTTTTCTTTATGACCCCATACGTAGATAAGCTTTTTTCAGTCTAAGTTGATGCGAAAAATGAACTTGGATTAAATGAGGTAATAATCTTTACCTCTTTCTGTTGAATCTTTATGTTTGTCTAATATTCTGTATAAATGTGTAAAAAGGGAATCATGTCATTGATCAAAGGAAGAACCCCATTGATTACTGTACAAGACAGCTGATGGTTAAACCATAAAAATTTTTTTCAAATAAAATCAAATCGGGTGGTACATATAAAAGTAAATCATAGGAAAAATTAATACGATTTTAAAAGTGAAGCTGTAGAGCAGCGAACAAAAACCTCAATAAAAAAAAAACAGCTTTCTCATAAGAAAATTAAAGCTTTTAAAAGACCAGGTCCGTGTCAAGATTAAAGAAAAATTGGATTCAGATATTCTACTGAAGTGTATTGCAAATACGTCATCTTACAGCTAAAGGAAATGGTACAACTAGGTCAAAATTTGTGCATTAAAAATGGGTTTAACGGTTCTAAGAACTTGTGAGAGATACTGTATTTTTACATATGTTATTAATCAATATTTTTTTCTTTCAGGTTTCAGCTGGAGTTTTTATTGCCATAATAGTCCTCTTTGACTAATTAAAAAGGAAACATAACCCACAGAAACCCAGCACTACAATGTTTGCACAGTTTAAAACAAGTTGTGAAGCTTAATGCACAAAGGTTTTTTTTTTTTTTTTTAAATATAAACCTTCAGGCCTGACAGTGAATGCAGCGCATATGGAATATCATTTGTTGCCAGCGGGGTTACAATCATGTTTTTCTCCCACATATTTCCCTGTTTTTTGTTAGAGAGGGTTCTCAGCTGCTGACAGGTAATGAAATTGCTCTTCAGCACTTGTGCGTATGATCCCGAGGAGAAAAGGCGGAAGATGAATGAGGAATCTGTGCTGTCAGTCTTGAGGCTAAACAGTCAGGGAAGATGTCATTCGTTTCAGTGAGAGGTGTGTGAATACGGCAAGGCAGCACAGTCTGATATGCTAGCCCCCACCCCTGCCACCAAAGCATCAATCTGGCAGCTGACAAATGTTGATTCTGCATTAAACACAATGCCAGTACGCTGTGCAAATAATGTTCTTTAAGATGGCAACCCTGATCCCCTTTATGACTAAAGCTACGGCATCCTCCCTACCTCCGCAGTTTAACAGCTTTCCGATAGGAAATGTGCAGTGAGGGAAAGTGTCTTACACAGCACTGCAGGCTCTTTATTTGGCAGCGCCTGCCTGGGAAGGCCGAGGCCTCTCGCTGCCCCAGTCGACCTAAGCAACAGCTGGCGTTCACAGCAACATTTCCTATTTCTGCCCAAGGTGGATCGTGTAACTCTCACTTTATCGCCCTTAGAGGCCACGTGAAGGACAAAGCAAGCACGCCCATAAATAAAACTAATGTTTTGATACAGGCCTCCCTTTGCAGCTGATTGAGGGATCTGTGATGGCTTGAATAAATCTCATTGCCACCAGAACAATGGATGAGTAAGTGCATGATTTTTCACTGTAAGTTGATGTACGAGTCCATATCCTCTTCTTTTGATTAGGTATCAGTAAGCTGGTAAATGAAGAACCCACAGATCGACATACCAACAGTACAGTATTTACAGGCGGTGCCCCCTATAGTGTCATAGTCCGAAAGTCAGAGCCATACTATAAAGCGCTCTGAATAGTCATCCTATAACTAGGTGGTGACAGAAGCCTTATATTTGACTTGGGTTCAAAAGCAAAAAAAATATTATAGAAAAATGTTTAAGAAACTGTAAATTATAAAGACAAACACACAATATCACTCAACTAGAAATTGTCATACGGAAAATGTCTTGTATAAAGAGGTATTTTGAAAATGTTTGAGTCTATAACATAATCAGAATAAAAGTTTCTAAAACATACAGGGGCTCCAAAGTCAAATAAAACAAATAAACTATGTTTAGAGGAAATATAGGGGTCGGTATTACTGGAACAGTGCTATAATTGATGTTTAAATAATGAGTACTCAGAACATCTTGTTTGAAAATATCAAATTTTAAAGAGCTCACATTTTATATTACAGCTAATTATATTTGGAATCGTTTTAAACTTTCAACAGGTGCACAAGTATCCCTCTGTTTTAACTCAGATGTAGGGTTTCTATTTATCCCTGCAGCACATTACTAACAGCCGGGCGGTCCCTCCGTCCGCATCTCCCCATCGCTGACCCGATAACATTTATAGTTGTAATGGATTTTTTTATGCCTGTCATTAACTCGCAGAGAGATTGGAGAAAGAAATTGCTTGTACCTTTTTGTGTGGTATTTCAACTTTATAGCATTATGCTCAGATATGTCACCTTCCATCAAACCCTTAAAGGCCTCTCCTTTCACTGGTTTTGTTTTAGATGTGCAGGTCCTTTTGTTGAGGACCCTTGTAGCATCAAGAGCTCATATTTAATATTTAATGATGTTGAATAAAAGCTTGGAAAGATATAATTTCCGTCTAATTATGTGCTCCGTCTCCACCAGAGCTTTGAGGGTGATTTTAGCAGACTACTTGGCTAATATAGACAATTTATTTGAAGCTGGTTTGAATCTAAATATTTAATAATGCACCACTAAAAATGAGGTTCACTTCAGCACTGTGAAAAATGGGAATTCATTCAAGTTTGTTCAAAGTAACTTTAATGCACAGTAGAAAACAATGGAAGGTTGGAATGGATACAAAACTCATCAATGTGCATTCATTCCTTACAGCCCAGACAGAGACTAAATGAACAGTAACAGCACAAGCAAATCAAAACCCCAGAGGGTTTTATCATTCTGGCTTTGAAAAACTCCTCGTATCTAGGCTGCAAATACCTGCATGAGGAAATATGCATTACATGTCAACAATTACATGGTTTGTTTTTTTTACAAAAGTATTTCACTTGCCTTGTTGGTCCACAAAGAAAAAATATAAAAAAATATTTCCCTTTACTTGATCTTATAGTCATTGATAATACAGATACTTTTGATAAGAAACCGTTTTCTGTTTGGCAGACAGTGTGATAAAAGCCTCGTGCCCAGCATAAATAAACAGAGCCAATATTACCCCATTTCCATTTCCTAGGAAAATCAAGCTTATTTGTTTTTCTTTTGGTTTTTCTTGCTGGGCTCGTTGAACTGGACGATATTAAAATGTAGAAATGTTCCCAAGAATTGCAGGAAGGCGGTCGTTGACGCCAGGACAGGAAACAAGTCGGGTAGATGTGTTGGTGGCTCCAAAGCTACGCTCAGGATGCTCAAAACAGCCATGAGAGCAATGCTGATGTAGAACTATCAACGATAAAGGCAGAATGTTTGCATCAAAAACTTGAAACCAAAAGAAAACGTTAAAAGAAGGTTAAAAAGGATGGATTGGGGGTTAGATTAAGAAGATTGTAGCATTTTTTGGGGAGAACTTTAGACTTTGTAGCTCAGGGATGTTATAAGATGTTGGTTTTACTTCAGGAACCTTCCTGCATTAAGATATATTTTCCTTAATAGATTTATAGAAATAGAAAATTATTTAATACTAAAAAGCATAAAAGTGAACCTTCTGTGTTCCTTCTGGTTTGTATCCTTCAAATATTTACATTCTAAAATAGAAAGTATTTTCTTTTGCTTGAATCAATGTCATTTATTATATTTTTCTCCTTTAGCTTTTTATTAAAACATTTTTCATATATAAATATTTTTTTTAAAGTGACCCTAGTCTTTTCCATCCCACCTTTAAGACTAAGATCGAGCATTTTTTTCATTAATTTATTATTAAATCTCATAAGATTTGGCATTCTAAACAATCAGGTATTTTTATTTGCAATAAAAAAAAAAAAAAATGCTTGTAAAAATAAATGTTGTGAACTAAAATTAAGTGGCTTTTTCTGTGAGAAGAATAACTTAAGATTATTTGAATTCTTACAAAAGGGAATTTATAAAAACGTAAGTAGTTAAATTGTGGAAGCCCAAATACAATTAGTACAAATAAATTACCCTGAAAAAAAACTTTTGATCTTTTAAAATTTAGATACAATAATTTCCATCTGAAATGTCTGCTTTGAGCTTCTTTCCTCTTTTTATTTGTTAAAAAGATACAATTTCTACAACAGCTCTGTTAAGACATGGAGCCATAATTTGATTTTAAATCATTTTTTCTAAACGTCAGCTTAAAAGTTGCACTAGAGGAGGTCGAATGGGTTGTTTACTCCATTGAGCTGGTCCTATATTTCCGGTGGAAAAAAGCCACTTCTTGGTAATTACCTTAAAAAAATAATAAATAAATAATAATCTTCCATTTTACCTCAAAGACAGCAAACCAAAAAACCACTGTATTAAAAAAACTAAAATAAAAAGGTTCAGGACAACTTTAAAATCATACAATCGAATAAATCATGTAATATTTTGAAAAGCAAAGCAGTGACCACTAATTACAGGCTGTTAGCTAATATAACAATTTTAAAATTTCTCTTACAGCATCATTGACATCACTTACCCCCCCCCCCCCCCCTTGTCTGCTTTTGCTTCACAACCCAAATGATAAGTCTGGGATTATAATGAGGGAAACATGGCATACCCTTTCTACTAGACGCCCAAAACCCATGAAACCTTATCTCCATCGTCGGGGCTCACTATTTATGCTGCTTGTGTAAATAAATATATCTAGGCAAACCTGTGTTAATGACACGTCCTATAAAAAGACAGCTTCTCTTAATCTCTGACACCCTACCGGTGCCGCTGTCGCTAAGGAGCTGGCGGCAAAGCCACCTCAGATGTTGTGGAAACTCAAATAAGTGATAAATAATTCTAAGGCTGGCAGCAGTGGTCGTCCCAGGACAGCTTACAAAGCTTACACCAGCACATGATATTTATTTATATAGTTGGATATATCTTCTGACAACATTGCAATTTAGGTCTTGAGCCACTTTAGAAATACCAGGCACCCCGGACCCTGAAATCAGCACCCTTCTTTTTACAGCCAAGCCTGTTTAAATCTTACTGTTGACATATATAGAAATATTTATTTCAAAGGTTAAAGTTCTTGTTTTTTTACCTATGCTTATTATCTCACTAAGGTTATAAAGATCTATCAAAAATGTTTAACCTAAAGTATCAAGCATCTAAATATTTAAGCGCAGAAATAATCATTATTTAAAGAGCAACCATACAAAATGATGCTAAAAATACTTTAAAATGTGTATTTTGCCAATAACAATTTTTAGATGGTTCATATTTTGTTTATATTCTATGAGTAGAAAAAACAATGTACACCGGAGGGTTAAAAAAAAATTCAAATTCAATCTTGATGCTAAAATGTTTTAACCATAGTAGAGGAATCGAGCGAAGTTGAGATTTTGTTGTGTATTTTAATTCAAAAAGCTTCTTAATCCCAAAGGGAAATTAAAATTTTGCAGTAACTTATGGGCTTTATTTAATAGAGTTGTTGTAGATATTAATAGCTGTAGGCAGAAAGGATTCTATAGAGTGGTCCATCTTGCACCGGTTCTTGTGATGCTTCTGACTAAAGACACTCTGCTGGTGTTTAACAATCTTCTGAAGAGGATGCTCACTGCTGGTCATAATATTCTTCATTTTATGAAAATTTCAACTGGTTCTGGAGAAGTTCCTAGAACAGAACCTGTGTTATTTATCAGCCTGTTGAGCTTTTTTGAGTAATTTGCTCAGATTCCGTTACCCCAGCGGATAACCAAAAAAAAAAAAAAAAAAAAAAAAAAATATCACTCTCCACAACCTTGGAAAAAAGAAACTGATCGAAAAATAAGAATCAAGCTGGCAGAGCTGCCTCAACAGGCAGCAAAAAATGTTCATCAATCTGTCAGCATAATCAGTTCACTATTTTGATATGAAAAACGAATCGACCTCTGCAGAATAGTGATCAGATTTTTTTTATAACTTATCTACCTATGAATAACCTTTTGCGGAATATAATTGAGATTTTCTATTTTTCTAATATCACCTTTACAATTCTTCCTCCTGGTCTTCATTTGAAGTAGTAAGAGTCGCCCTTAAAAAGCCAAAAAGGATCACAGTTTGCAAACATGCATTTTCCAGATGACACTAACAAGTGAGCCATCTTGCTTGCAACAGATCTTACTGTTCGAGACAAGCATTTTAAATTGGCCCCAGATTTCCAATTACTGGTTTTCTTTTTAAAGAACAGTAATATAGACATCTTCTTATTGTTTTACTCCTTTCTGACATAAACCCTAACTTTTTTAGCAGAGGCAACATCACACAGTAGTCTGAGAAATATTTTTGAAAATTACATTTCAAATTGTTTTTAGACTCTGAATGTAGAAAGTAGCATTATTAGCGCAACAGCATAACTAAATCAGCAGTCTCCGTGTATGTTTGTAGATAATTCACTTTTTCAACAACTATCAGAATTTCCAGAGGCTTTCTGAATCTACCAAGTTGCAACTTATTTCAAACTTTACTGTATTTTACTCCATTCTTCCTTCAATTTCTTAAAAACTATTTCTAAAAGTAGATATTTCTTCATGGAGTTGCAGAGAGAAAGGTGGCTGGAACTTCATGGAGAAATATCTGTTTTTTGAGTGTTCATTTGGGAGAGATTAAGATGGTAACTGACCAAATTCTCTTGTACATTTTTAATATTTCTAATCTTGATGAAAAAATGGCAATAATACCAAACATAATTCATTAGCGCAAATATTTAAAAGCACAGTAGCAAATTCTTCAAACATTATTTGGAAACCTGCAAATCATTAAAAAAGTTGTTCCCAATAATCTTCTTTGGTACACTCTGTAAAACAATATAGAGAACTTCCTGGAAAAACAAATAAAAAACAAAACAATATTCAATCATAGTTCAAACTCACCTTCCATCTTATTATACAGGCCAGGTATTTTGATGGCAGAAAGAAAAAGAGCTTGCTATAGGTCCCAAGCTCCTCCGATGATTCATCCAGAGCAGACAATAAGTAGACTGTTAGGAAGAGATACCCCACTGAGGTCACAGTATAGGGTACCAGCAGGCCGTCTTTCAGGAAAAGAGGAAGCATGCTTGAGAGAAAAACAATAAACAGATATTTATAGTTAATGTTTTATTTTTTTTGGCTATGATTGAACCAAACATTTAGCTACACTGGTCACCTTTTTAATGTTTAAAACAATGTTTACTGCTTAAGGTGTGATGCATCGTTATACAAACACTATTTTTAAAAGGTAGTGGATATATTGTCACATTTCCACAGCATTTTAACCATTTATCATAGGACATGATTCAATTTAGCTTCACGTTTGTTTTAAAACAAAAGCAACTGGACGTAAAACATTTTTATACAGGAGGGGTTTAAGAGCAGCGCGTCCCCTGAGGAGAGACACTTATGACATTCATGCAGAGCTTATCTCAGTTTAGCAGCGGGGCAGAGGCAAGAACAACAGTTGGCTCATAGTAAACACACAACACCCTGCTTGAAACGCAAAACAAAACAACTTTTCTCTCTACAACAGATTACTTATTCAAACTAAACAGTTCCACTCAGCTGCTAAATGTTTAACATTTAAGAAATACATACTTTCTCAATGGAAGCAGACTGGGTTCATTCACCCGGTAAATGTTGCCAGTCTGAGCATTCCATCAGTAAACAAAAGATGTTTTTTTTAAAAATCTCAAATAAAAATGTCTGTCGAGATGATGCGGAAGTCCAAATGAAACTGTATTGAGAAAACATTTCTGAATTGACCTCTTGTCCCTGCATAGCACACTTAGACACAAGGCATGCAGAGTATGCTGTGTAAGCCCCACATATCCTTATACTAAACCACATGCACAACAATTAGTGCTGCCGGAAGAATTTAACAACAGCTGATGAAAGTAAGTTGCAGCATTGCGTTGCTATTTTTCTTTTCCATTCATGGTGCTCACATCTCCGTCTGCATCAGCTGGCTTCTATGGTTGTATCTGTTTGCTCTTTAAAGGACAAATGGTTTCATATAACATCTAATCATAAAAAAACAATAGAGAATCACATCGGGGCATGCAGACTGATGAAAAAAAAGAACAAATTGCGTGAAGTCCACTTTCATTAATTAACAGCTTATCCCTACAAAGGGATGCCAACTAAATGCATCCCATAAGTTTTGATAAATTATTCCCTTATGGGGGAGTGGCGGCCTAGTGGTTAGGGCATTGCGCTTGGAATCTAGAGGTTCTGAGTTTGAGCCCCACTCCCACAGACTGACACTCTGGGTCCCTGAGCAAGACCCTTAACCCCACACTGCTCCCCGGGCGACGCACAATGACAGCCTACTGCTCCACAAGGCGATGGGTGAAATAAAAAGAGTCCATTTCGTTACTCTGTACTTCTGGCAGTGCAATGACAAAAAAACACAAAAAAAAACTGGTAAAACCCCCAAAAACCATTGTAAAAAAAAATTACGTGTTATTTCACAAACTCCTGGTCAACACTTACTGTAACTGTTGGTGTTTATATACTATACAACACCATTTCATGTTCTAACTGGCAACCCAAACTGCTCAAAGAGCCATACTTGACCAAAGAAAAACCAAATCTGTCTGGAGCCGCACAAATATAAAAGTTTCGAATAAGTCTAGTATGGCAACTCGGGCTCCAAGTGTATTATCCCACTATAAAAAAGGACTGCATGGGCTTAAATATATAATAAACATGCATAATTAAATGTATATCCTGGAGCTAATGTCACATCATGTGACTACTCTCCTGCACGATATTCAGTGCATTAAGTTTAAATTCCATAGTAGCGCGAGGTGAGGTGAGCAGTGAGCGCACACACCACGAAATTTATATGCATTAGGTTTTGTTGCATTGGTGAAATTCTAGAAACATGATAAAGAAATCAGACTTTTGTTGTTATTTTTGTTTTGAGGATTTGGGTAAAAAAAAAAAATGGATGAAAATTCACATACCTGCATAAGAGTGCTACCTGTTCGATCTGTGGACAGTCTTCCATGCTTGCAACAAAACTAGCAGCAGTAGTGGAGTTGGAGATACAATTCACTCCTGAAATCTATCTTTGCTCTCCTGTAATTTATCCAGAAATTCTGCAATCGCACTTTTTCCCCCTCACTCGCAACTTGGTGGACGGCTGCATATTTAGCATACCTTCCCTGGAAATACCTTTCTAAATGACTCTTCCCGCGGGTTTGTTTTCAACAGCCACCTGCCTGCCACCGTGCCACGCTGAAACGTCTGTTACATGCTATGACGCAAACCTAGTTGACAGAAATGTTTGCTTTTATTCTTTGAATGTATTTATTATACAACACATAATGAATGTTTGTTTTATTATGGTGTGCAGGAAGTCAAACAAACAAACAAAATCAAATCTATCTTTTCAAATTTTCATACATTTTTAGAAAAGCTTCAGGGAGCCACAAAGGGGGCATAAAAGAGCCGCATGATGCCGACCCCTGTTCGAATAGAAGAAGTCAAAAATGAAGAATTGTGTGCTTGCTGCAGCATTTTTGTATCGATTCTGTCATGTGGTGTGGATAGTTATTCCCCATCAACAGATTGCAACCTACTTTCAGCTTTGTGTTAAAAGTTATTGGACTATTTTTCCTTGCAAACATGCATTTATTGATTAAAATTTGTCAGTGTTTTCAAGAATTTACTCCTAATGTAGGCTATTTTCAAAATTTGTTAAAAGTGGCTCCTTAGCAAAGCACTCTAAATAGTCGTACAACTAGCTAAGCGCTCTAAAAATGTGGTCTATTTGCCATGTAGACACAACAAGAGACAGTGGCTTTTATCAAACAGCAGACAGTTTGTTTCTTCTGTGTTATTTTTACCTGAATGTTGAGGCCTGCAGGAACCAAATACTCATAAATGGAAATTCATTCAAGAGGAGACAAACTGGGCTGAAAAGAAAAGAACAATGGTGGCTTCAGACAATTTTAAGTTAATTTTAAACTATTACATTAACACATACACATTGACTCAACTAGACTTAAGCTAAATTGTTAAATAAGATTTTTTTCTTTTACATTAAACAGATGTTTTGGACTTTTAAATAATGAGTGGGCTGTCCATAAGGAAACAATTCAACACCTTTATCTGGATCTGATGAATATGTCATCAATTCCAAATTAAGATCTGAAAAAGCTGTAGCAACAAAGTTCAAATCTGTTTGTCCGTATATAACTCTATTTTTAACTGAAGCAGGCTACCAGCCTCACTTCTACACTGTTACCCAACGGAGGATCTTTCCAACAGTCCCTGAGCCCATAATTACAGTCAGCGCTCTTTGGTGATCCTGTTACAGCCTAATAATTGATCCTGCGCTAACAACACCCCGAGCTGCTGCCTACTATCCTCTCCTAATCCCTGGGCATGCATTACTGATTGATTCAGGGGGACAGGTGGGAGATATAACTCAATAGTTAATAAAGCAACAATCTACACTGATCTAGATTAATAGATGAGCCCAGATCCAGGAACTAAATCCCATGCTGCAAAGTCTATCCAAGGTTTCACTTTCCTTCTGCAGCTTCATACGTAAGAGGATAAATAATAACGCACAACACAGACAAGCACACATTTAATGCCTGAGCTCTGAAACTATCGTATGATCAACCTCTAAAGTGTTGCAGTGCATATCATGATGGCGGTTACTTGGACTAGAAGCATAAAGGAGGATAACGGCGCAAGTCTGAGCAAAAATAAGAGCGTCAATATGACTTTTAAGTTGCACGTTTACTAAAACAGATAATCTGAGATAAACTTTCAATCATTAATTTTTTAATGCAAATATCTCAGTATTGATTAAGAAAAGAATGCAAACTGCAATCAGAAAGACTCTGGTCTAACTGGGATATCCAATGATTATCCTATTTCTGGGAAGTAAGGCTGCTTACAAGTGCATACCTTTCAGAATCAAGACAAAAAATAAAAAAGTTTTTACTTAGGATCAATTATTGACACTTACAGGGCAGCCAACAGGATGGACTTCTCATGGACTTGATAGGAGAAAAGGAAAAAGGCCAGAGATGAATTGACCTGAGAGAAAAGAATTAATAAAACACATGAAGAATATAGAGACATTGTCTTACTAGTACTCAATGTCACATTGTAACAGGATTTTTAATGTTTGACCAAATTTATTTGGAACAAAAACCCCTCAAATTTAGCCAGATTGGATACATTCAACTTTGTTTCTATAATCCAGACGTTTGCTTTGTCTCCTGGATGATCAATCAGTTTCTGTTAAACAATGTTTTTAATTTTTTGCCCTTTCCATTAACAACAACTTTGTGACAAATCACGCTCGACCTGTCTGTAGGTTCTTCCACCTGAGCTGTGAGTCCCTGCAGCTCCTCCAGAGTTACCATCTACCTCTTAGCCACCTCTATTGTTAATTAACTGTCTCTTCTTAATTGAGGTTAAAATCAGTGTCTTCATAGGTTTGCAGTTGTGTAATACTGTTTCAGTTTTAGGATGTTAAATAGGCAAAGACTGGGACTTTAGTATAAACCCTAATCCTACTTTGATCTCTTCGATATGGTTTGTTGACTGATGGACTCTAATGCAATCCAAGTCTCCACAGAACACCTGTATCTATACAGAGAATAATTTACACACAGCTAGACTCTGTTTACGTTTACTGGCAATGTTCTGAAAGCAATCGTATTTGCTGGAAAAATGCTGATTTATATCAATTTATCACACAAATCCCAAACAAAAATACACTAAGGAGAGTTCTTGTAACACGAAATGCATGTTAAAAAGTCCAAGAGGTATAAATACTTCTGCACGGCCACCATTGGTACAAAAACACACTCACCAAAGCTAGTTTAAAGTGCCAGAAGGTGGGCTTCATCAGCACTCTAATAGAGGATGGTAGCGCCGCTAAGAGAGTTAAAGCCAAACTGTAACACATGAAACAGGGAAATGAATTTCAACTTATAGAATACAGACTGAACACATGGAAAAACACACAAGGGGATTCTCAAACAGGCTCATGGGCATTTATCTTTCTAGGACAACACCTGCTCTAAGGCTAAGACCTCTCTGCATAGAGGGACTGACCAAATAATAAAGGTTCTTAAAGGATAGCCGGCATTAGTTTAACCCCTCAATTGTCACCTGCTGGGGGCACAGGCACCACAAGAGACAGACTTAGTGTCAAAGTGAATGTGTAGAAATGTGCAAACAGGTCAGGGGTTGGTTATCTGAGAAGGCAACAATGTGCTGTAGGTCACCGAAATAAGAGACGCAAACAGCAAAATAAAACTACATTTTAAAAGTAATACGATCAATCGGTATCTTCACATGAGTTTGAGTTTGATAGGTCAAACGTTTCTTTGATACATGCTTGAAATACAGAACAATAAAAATAAATCAAACTTGATCCTCGGCCTTTGATAGTTTAGCAGAAACATATAGATTCTGCAACCACAAGACTATTGAATTAAACCATCTGGATTTTTGTCTCAAAGCAATTAATTTCAGTTTTGAAGAGATTTATTCTTTTTTCGTCAAATATTCCTAAGGCACCTAAACCCCTTGGTGACCCGTTTAGAAAAACAGATGTAACTTGCTGCTCCCAGTTTCTGGTGGGTTCTTGAAAGATAATTTTTAAAGAACTCAATCGCTGCTTTTAGGAAAAGCTAAGCTTTTCCTTAAAAGATAAAAGCAATTCACAGGAAAATTACCTTGGGTAAAATTTAGGAAAAACATTAAAAAAGAAAAAAGCAAGGAGCTATTAGAAAGACAGAAGCGGAGTAAAAACAAATGAAAGGATTACCTGAGGTAAAGCTGAGAGTCGCCTGTCAGAATGGATCTGATCTTTATCAGGGTGTTTAGGCTGCACCATGTGTTGGCCACCTTATCCTACACACACACAAGTACAAAATGATAACATCATTAGGAACATATGTCCAAGACATGATAATATCTCAGATTGTTGTTTGCAACAAAGAAATAAAGATTAACGCGAGTGGTTACCTTGTCTTTGTAATTTTTTTGGTTTTGCATTAAAACAAACCCTAGTTTGTGCCACACTATATGTTCATTGTTACCTCATTTACTGCAAAAATGAGGTAAACGGTAAAGCTGAAAGCATCTCCAATCAGTCAGGTTTATTTACTAGGATATATCTTTGTTATCTTCATGTTATATCTGAGTACATCTGATCCAGGGTTGTCTATGTGTGTTTAGTTGGTTCTGAACACTGCCAGCTTCTACGGAAGCAGAGTTCTTCTGTTATTCACAGCCACAACAATAACTACAGCCAACAGGAAGATTTCTCCAACCAAGTCAAACCTTTCCCTACTCCTGTCAAGCTTTACTACGTTGTTCCTTCAAAGATGTTGCTTTTATTTCTCCATTATTGAAGCCTGATTTTAAATAAAAATTCAAAGAACTAGAAAAAGGAGCCTACAAGTTTATAAATAACCTTTCATAGCTGTTCTACTGATAAGTCAGCATAAGCCAAATTTCTTAATGAATTATTGATTCTATTAAAAATGAAATAATTGGAACCCTGTTAAATATGCTTGATCAATCTCTGGAATGTGAGGCAGGATCTGAGGTAACAAGAGAATCTGAACTGTGTTTGGATAGCTTTGAACCAATTGAACTTTCAGAATTGGCAAGAATGTTATCTTCATCTTGTTTATTTCCTAGAAAGAGCCACCTGAGGAGCTAATTTATGATTCCCTTTTCTAACATAGAAAGTATTTATGGATCAGTGCTTCAATGTTTCCTATGTATGGCTGTGTTTGTCTCCTTGAACCCCAGTCAGCCTCATCCCGCTAGAGGTTTCTTCCCTTTTAAAAGGGAGTTTTTCCTCTCACCTGTCGCTGCATGCTTGCACGATATGAGGGATTGCTGTGGAGTCAACAAAATGCAAACCAGTATCTACTGTCATCACACGCTTATCCAGAAGTGAGTCCTACAAATTCAATGACTCGATTCAATCATATGGCTTTCCTTATATAGGAAACATTTTTACCAATCTGACCGTGAGATCCGACTGAATTGTCTCTGTAAAGTTCCTTGAGGTAACACTTTGTAGTTTGGTGCTATATAATTTCAATTGAACTGAAGTATGGAAGCTTCAAAATGAATCCAAACAACTTTTGAAAGTGAGTACAAAGCTGATTATTGGCACAACCTAACCTTTACATTAAATGTTTAGAATGATTTAACCAGGTCAGAGTTTGGTTCCTGGAGCAGATAATGCTAGAGCGAACCCAGTCCAGGACCTTAAATCGGACCTATGAACTTAAACATCTGCTGGCATTTGCATGGTTTATTTGGAATCTGCAGCAGTTTGCTTGCAGTATTTACACATCTGCCCCTCTCAGTGTATCATAAATAGGAAGATAGCATGTGGAGGAAGAGGAGTTTTTATTTTGAAAAAGATGAAAAAAAAAAACAAATTTTGGATGAAGATACTTAAATCTGAGGATGAAAAAGCTATTTTCTCATGAGGCTACATCAAGATGCTCAATTAAATTTGAACATAAAAGCAGCAGCAGCAAGCCCTCTGGACAGTTTCGTCTTTGAGCTGTTTTTTCTTCTTTTCGATCAGAACAACAATAAAACAAAACTAACTACCAAACAAACCCTAAAATTCTACATGTGAAAAAAAATGGTGTGAATCCTCACTTTTTTTTTTTTAAGGATTAACATTGAATTACTCTTCCTTTTACCCCTTTCTTTCTCCCCCCTTAAACAGGTAGGTTTTAGAACCCAAACTTAATCCCGAAAACAACCTAACCAAAAGAAAACCCTAATGAAAAATTAATTGCAAAACAATGCATCTTCTTTTTTTATGTAGACGTTCCTTTTTTCCCCTCCATCTTTATCTTGTTTTGGTGCTTATGTTAATTACTACTTGTAGATCATTTTTTATAATGTTAAGGTAGGTTTAATTCATATTTGATGCTAAAAACAATCTTTATCTGAAATATACAGAATATGGAATCTTCTGACTTCTCGTAATAGAGGTGAAGAAAAATTATGATAGAAATTGTTAGACTGATTTATTAAAATTAAATTAATTTATTAATTTAAATTAATTTATTAAATTAACATAAAAAACTTAAAAAAAAAAAACTTTTTTCAGAGGTAAGGTATGCTACAAAGATGACAGTGGTGTTGTAGTTCTAGTGAAGTACAGATGAGGAGGATAGATGATAAAGCGGATGCTAAGCAATCACTTAAATATCAGAACCAGCAGTGTGCGTTGATATCACACGTCTAGATTAATTTAGTGATTCCTCCGTCCTTTATTTTAATAGTTATCCTAAGGAGAAAATCCTTGTCTGGACTCCCCTCTGAGCTACAGCTGCTTCCCCCCACAGCTGTGTGGATCTTAATGGTCGCCTCGTCAGCAGCACCAAATTGACCAGGGTTGTGTTTTCACAGCCCCATCCTTTCATTTTTCCTCTCTCCTTCTTGACATCAAATAACTACTGTGGGAATGTTCCTGGACACCAAGTTGAAGGCAAAGCAACCCCGACCCCCAGCAAATGGGAGTCTCAAAGCCAGAAAGGAATTTCACAGGGAGAAGCGTTTGGTGCCATTTTTGTGAGCAGGCCGCAACATGAGACAGCAGAATGCAGCTCAGTGGGTAAACTTACAACTGCTGCCTTTCCAGAAGTCACCAGGACCACCGGTCAGCAGTCGTCTTCATCCAAACCATCACACTCTGTGTTCCTGCTTGCAGTGCATGATTTCAGCTGAAATCATGAGCAAAGCCCATGCAGCATGTTTGAATTGTTTTGTTGAACAAATATTACTTTAATTCGCCCTGATTCTACAATAGAACTACAGATCACATCACATATCATTAATACCCTGTATTAAATGTCCATCATGTTACAAATTTTCAGAAACAAGAGCTGCAAACTTCTACCTCTAAACTGTCACATCAACATTCAACATTCAAACAGAGGCGTTTAGATGTTGTCACTTCAACCCGATTTTTCCATGACAGCTTTCCAAACTGTCATTTAGGAATTGTTTTAATTTTTTTTTTCAGCATTACTTCCCTTTTAAAATTATATGTACTAGTGACTTCCTATGCAGCTGAGTAGTCACAGTACAACAGATATAAGTGTTTGAAACAGTCAAGCACACGTGTTTTTATTTTTATTTTTTCCAAAGAACTGGTCAGCAGCGGGACACCAGCTGTCTGATGTGCTCTGATATGCCTTAAAGTGTATCACTCACTCCTCTCGTCCGTCCATATGGCTGGAACATGGCTGAGCTATGAAGTGCTGAAAACAATCCAGCCATAAATTAGTTAGATTTATCTGCATCCTCTTACTGTACATCATGAATCCCAACACCTCCCAGGGATAGGGTGAAACCGATCTCCTGACCTTTCACCATTTTATTCCACTGTTTTCTTTGATCCAGCGGGGTATCGGTTTCCAGCAAGCTAAGCAGTGGAAGGGCTGGAGGGCTATTCACTATGACGAACGCCGGGAACATCGTGTAGGGAACGAGGTGTGCCTCATGGGTTGCATATGACGACAATGAAAGTTACAGCTTTGTGACAATCCCTTGTAAAACTATTATTAAATCATTTCAATCTGTTAAGATATCACAGTGGTTAAAACAACTTCTAATTCATTCAACAAATTCCTACAAAGAAAGATTATTGTCAAAAGAATTCACCACTCCTAGTAAGAAGGAACCAATCAGAGCCAGGAGAAATGTCTTAGCAGTGTTAGTCACGCTCATAAACACCCTGCTCACACCCCCCTCCCACAAAGAGTGTCCCGTCATTCAAGCTCCAAACTGCTGGTGTACTGCAGCCATGAGTCGATGTAATGCATATCTTTAATATTTCATCCCTACCAGAAATTGCGTCATTGCTGTTTCCCTCCCTGCAGATCACAAATTTCATGAAGGACCATGGGTTCTCGATGGGGTGTCTGGAAGACACATTTTGTGTCTGGGAGTTGATCTTGACTCCATCATCAACCCCGAAAAGGTCCCACAAGCTCATCTTTGATGATACCAGCCCATACCAGTACCCCACCTCCACCTTGCTGGCATCTGAGTCGATAAGGAACTTGCTGCCCTTTACTAATCCAGCCTCGTGCCCATCCATCTGGCCCATCAAGAAAAACTTTCAAGCTTTCAAGAGTTCAGCAGGAAGGGCTGTAGCAGCAGAGAGCAAGGGAGCCTATAAGGTGTGCTTGATCAAATTTTCAACCTAAGACCAAGATTTTCTAAGAATTCTCTACAGCAGCCTTATTTTGATTTAGTAGTATTCATCACAATGGTTACTTGATCTGATCCAGAGTCAAAAGGAGCATCCAGAGTCAAAGCATCAAAGCAACTTGACCAGCATTTGACCCAGTGTCCAAGTTTTGGCATTTAAGTGTTTTTGAAACCCTAACAAACTAAGTGAAGGATTGAACCAGGTACTAACCAACAGTCTCCACCATCATGACCACCAGCATTTATAACTTGATGTTCTGTCAAGAATTATATTGACTTGTTTTAAGTTGTGACAGCATGAATATAAGGATCCCCAAATAAAAATAACTTGAGACAAAAACAAAATTGATACTGAAAGACCACAAGGCCTGAGGGGTCTGAGACATTTTAATGATTAGGTGTATACTGATACTAATGACCTTTATTTACAATTAAACTTCAAATCAACTTAAGTTATGCCGGCTCCTGAAAATCTTTTAAAGGTTCCTGATTACAGAAAATCCTGAAATGGGAAGTCCTGCAAGGCTCTATTCTAGGCACAGTTTTATACAATGACTAAACATCCCCTATACTTGGATCAGATAATACTAAAACATTTCTTAACATTCGCATGATGAGGAGAAAACCTAGATTCTTTTGTTACAACATGACCACAACCCCTTAGAGTCACTAAGTGCGTCAATAACCACAGAACGAATGACGAAGAATTTCCTTCAACTTAATACAGAGAAGGTTCCTCAAACGCAAGGTTAGAGATCAGCATTAAGCTAGTGGGAAAAAAAAGAAACTTGGAATCCTCACAGACCTGGACCAAAATGTCAAGATTTACATAAATATGAATGTTACTATCCAAGAATAAAGCACAAATAAAGGGCTTCCACATTACCCTGAAGAGCTAGTTCATATTATTCTTCAATAGTTTAGATTACAGTAATGCTGTCTTTACCAGTCTGTAAACAAGACTAAATTGAAACAAATAAATAAATAATGCAGTTGCAGCTTCATTAAATGGCTATGGCTCCTTCACATTAAGGAGTGACAACCCTATGGTTTACTTTAGCTTCCCAGAGCGGTAAAATATTACTTCATCAGGTCATTTCTTTTGCATATTATATTATTTTTGTTTCAGTTACATGTTTGTCAGATCTATATTCGTTTATATCAGATTTTTTTTTTCTTCCTTATTTACCCCAAGTAGCAACTTGATTTAGTCTGTGATTGATTGCATTTATTTGATAAATCTAACAAGTTATCTGTGTTCAGCATCGAAGTGTACAATCAGTATTCTCCACTGTACCTCAAATAACCCACGGGCCACGGGAAAGATCCTCCTCACCACCTGCAAGGCCTGACTGGGGTCAGCCAGGAAAGGAAGCCAGCAGAGGGCAAAAGTCACCAACACGGCGACAGCAATTCTCCCCAACAGCATAAACCTGCGTGACAGATAAATAACTTTAACAGTGGGTAGTAGAAATATCCATTGTATTAACAACATCACTTTGGTATAAATGGAGGACATGTGACCCTTTTTGCTTGAACATGTCTGTTTCTGCAGGGTTTCCCCAGACAATTAGCACAAACTGTCTGCAAGTCCTAAATTTGGGCCCTGACCCTCATGCAGAGGAATGTAGTGAAAGCCATGCATCAGCTGAAACTCCCCAGTGTGGGTCAGAGTATCTTGTCAGCTGTAACTGTGAAGCTGCTGGTTAAGTTGCACACACAGGCATAGCTGAGGAGTTTGGGCATGGCGAGAGTGTCATCTGGACATATCTTCCCATGGGCCTAATCCGGCACTCCATTTGCTACTAAATGCCCTTGGTACATTGTTACTAGATAAACAGACACTGGACACACTGGTAATAGCATCCAATCTGATTACCTCAGTCATTCTGTGACTCTGAGGAAGACAGTGCTCTCTTACAGACTCACATTACAAGTGTAGGCTCGCAGCTGACACATTCATGCACGCTGACAAAACAATATATTTAACAAATGCAGTCTTCAATGACCGTGTTTTCACTGGGATCAGCTTGAATTACCTTAAAGATTGGAGTTGCCTCGGTGGAGTTTGGTGATAATAAAAAAAAACCATGACACTGAAAACAGTACAACTAAAAAAATAACTGTTTTAACTATAATTTCTTTGAAACAGAATAGACATAACAATATGAGTAGTACAAACGTTAATGATTTTTTTTTTATTTCCAAAAACCAAAATACATTTTTGCCATGTCAGCTATAGCAATTAAGTTTAAATATCTTAACCATTTGGTTTTTTAGATGAGACAAAGATTGAGCTTTTCAGAACCAAACACTTCAGGTTGGTCTGGCATGAAACAAAGGAGGGTTAAGTGTTTCATCTCTTGGGTACAGGGAGGATCTGTAATGCTCTGGGCTTTTTTCCCCATAAGGGAACCTAAATAAAAGTTGGCACAATAGATAATACAGTGCAGTCGGCCTGTCTGATGTGCAGAATAACAGCCCCAAAGCATAATGCTACCACCCCCATGCTTCACAATAGGGATGGTGTTCTTGGGATGGTACTCATCAATCTTCTTCCTCCAAACACAGTTGGTGGTATTATGACCAAAAAGTTCTATTTTGATCTCATATGACCACAAGATTTTCTCCCACAATTCTTCTGGATCATCCAAATGGTCATTGGCAAACTTAAGACGGTCCTTGACATGTGCTGGTTTAAGCAGGGGAACGTTCTATGCCATGCATGATTTCAAAACAAGGCATCTTAATGTATTACCAACTGTAACCTTGGAAATGATGGTCCCAGCTCTTTTCAGGTCATTGACCAGCTCCTCCCATGTAGTTCTGGGCTGATTTTCTTAGGATCTAATTCCTACGAGGTGAGATCTTGCATGAAGCCCCAGTCCGAGGGAGATTTACATCCATTGTTAGCGTCTTCCATTTTCTAAAGATTGCTCCAACAGTGGACCTTTTTTCACCAAGCTGCTTGGCAATTTCCCCGTAGCCCTTTGCAGAATTGTGGAGGTGTACAATTGCGTCTCTAGAGTCTTAGGACAGCTCTTTGGTCTTGGCTATGTTAGTAGTTGCATTTTTATTGATTGTATGGGGTGGACATGTATCTTCATGTAGCTAACAACCTCAAACAGATGCATCTAATTTAGGATAATAGGTGGACTGGAGGTAGACATTTTGAATGCAGACTAACAGGCCCTTGATAGTCAGAATTCTAGCTGATAGACAGGTGCTCAAATATTTATTTGCAGCTGTATCATACAAACAAATAGTAAAAATCATGATTTCTAAGTTAGAGAACTTACAAAATGGCAGGGTCTTCAAATACTTATTTTCCTCACTGTAGCTCAAAATTGTGTCACCTCTAGAATGTAGTCTGCACTGAAACACCTTTATCTTTGTATATAGAGCAAATAATTGGTCCTTCTGGCTAAAAAAAACTCAAGATAAAATTAAAATAAAGATTAACAGTACAGTATCTAGTGATATTTTCATCCACCAATATCAAAATTATAGCTAATCACCAACTGCTGGCATTTCCAAGTTTAAAGAAAAGAAAAAGGTGCAGATTATTGCCTTCTCTAACGATTCGACCATTAGAATCATATCCGTTCAGCTTCAGGGAGCAGTCCGGGCATTTTTAAATATTTCGATAAAATGTTTCTGAGCCATTGTGCACAGCTAGTAAAACAAAAGATCATGAAAATCTTAAAACTGTACAAAAATCAGAATCTTTTTCATTTATGAATCTATGGTTAATGTTATTAGACTTCCTATATGAAATTAAGTTTGAGTATTTGATACTACTAGGGGAGAATTAGGGCGTACCAAAGCCGTACATCCCAAAAACAGGGCGTACAATATAATTTTTTTTACAAGAGGGGGTACACAATGTACGCCTGCACAGATTGCTAGCTAAAAGCCTGCTTCTGACCCTATTCTAATGTCTGAAAACGAAAAAGAATAATTAGATAAAACATTTATAGCCTTATAATATTGGCAACATATCAATAAAAATATTGATCTAGCCATCAGTCATCTATATCAGTATAAAGAGATGAATCTGTCAAGCAAACATTCATACAAAATGGCATTATAGAGTAAACAGATTAGGTAGGATTACTGTAGGAGGAAGATGATGTACCTGCAGACAACCTACACATGTACAAGGAGAACATGAAGACTCCATGGAGAAAGAATTCAACAATTCATGATCTTCTTATTGCAGTAATGCTACCAGTAGTAATGACAACAGGAGAAATAAATAATTGGAGACATAAAGCAATGACGCTTACCCACGGCCGAGTAGCCCAGCTTTGACACACTTTCCAAGAAGGTAACAGAAGAAGGGCAGTGCATGGTACAGCTCCATCTGTTTGTAGTTGAGAGCTAGAGAGAAGGCAATGGAGCCTAACATGTCCCAGCTCAGCCCGAGAGCCAGAATCCCCCAAAGCGCAAAGCCCAGGCTCACTCCATTATACCCGAGACAGTCAAGGTTATAAAGATGACCAGTTTTACAAGATAACTAAAGATAAATACAAATAAATAAACATCTGAAAAATTTAATAAAAGGGAGACTGGATGGAGAGAGTTAAAATTTCAAGACAAAAAAACAATAAAAAATGCTTGAAAATGAAGAATTTATTACATAATGCGCCACATAATGCAGCTAAATGACTTGTACTTATATAGTAGCTAAGACTTCAAACACCGACACAAATTAGGTTTACCGTCAAAATATACTAAGTAACAACTGCTGGCAATTAAAAAAAAACAAAAAAAACAAGCAACACATTTTCAGCCTGGAATTAATAAAACATAATCTAATCTAATAAAATTATATAAATAGCTGCATAGATGTATAATAAATAGCATTTAAACAAATTAAGGTAAAGAAATAACACTGACAAAAAAAAAATACAACAAAAAAGGATACTGAAAATGACCATAGTCAATGAGAATTAGTCCGGGGTAAAGAAGAATGCTGAGAAGAACAGAAACCTAGAAAGATCCAATCAGAGAACAAATGAGTGAATTTATCTATTTAGAGGCAACTTGTATAAAATAAAATTAGTTACAATCATTACCCTTTTTTTAGTTGAACCACCAGTCAGGAAAAAACTGTATAAAACAACTGCAGGGATGTATATCAACACATCTGTCACCAACACTAAAAGACAGAAACCCCCCCAACAAAGTTAAATAAATTTATTAAACATGGTGCTGCACCCTAAATGCACCAGGGAGCGTTATCACAGATCCTTCCTCCCTGCAACTGTAAGACTTTATAACCATCACTGTTCCCAACAACCTCAATAAGTTGCCCAGTTTCATTCTTCGTCAGTTAAATGACATGCTGCTGTCATTTTTTTTTTTTTTTTTTTTTTTTTTTGCACATCTCTGGTTTTGCAGCTATTTTTCACATACCCATCACTAAAAAAGTGTCCACAACTATTACAGTTTTTTTTTTTATTCTCCAGATACAGAGTATTTATATTTTAAAACACTGTACAGAACAATACTCCATTTTATTTTCCTATCTGTTATTTGTATACAGTTTTCTACCACTTCTATTATAACCTTTTACTGCTGTTTACACCACAATTTCCCCGTTTTGGGACATTAAAGGGATTTTGTATTCTCTTCTATTCTAATAATGGTAGCCTAAAACTTTTTAGTAAACAACAACACCAAAACCTTTGATATATAGTTTGTTTGATTTATAAAAAACAAACAGAAAAAGCAAAATAGGATCTAAAAAACAAAGCCACACTTACAAAACAGATTGAAAATTGAAAGATAATAAAAAACAATGTATACATTATACAGCCTTATAAACAAAAGGGTTTATATATCCTGTCAGTTCTCTCCAATAGATGAGAAATGTATTAGAATGTTTTGTATATAATCTAAAAAAACAATTATTTGACAGGCACATGCTATTGAAAAGTTGCAGAAGATTTGGAAATGCAAGTTTGTGGTGCAGCTTTACCTGTAGCTCTCATGAATAACTTGTGGGCAGGACTTTCAAAGCCTCTGGATCTGTGCAGCTCCACCCATTCAGGATTTATAAGCTTTGCTCTGCAAACAGAAATCAAATTAAAACTACACTGCAAAAAATCTAATTCTAGATAAGTCATTTTTTTTTCTTAAAATAAATGCATTCGTTCATGAATTGAGGAGGTAAAAGAGACATTCTACCAACGGAACAAGACAATTTACACTTAAAATAAGAAAACACAATTCCATTGTCTTATTTCAAGTGCATATAATCTAATTATTTTATTTTAATAGTAAAATTACTCATTCCATTGGCAAACTTTTGGCCCCACTGCATTTACCACCAAAGACTTAGTCTCCTGCTTCCTGGAGGGTGTAGTGTTTCTGATAATGATGATGATGCAAATAAATACAACTAAATCAAATGATCAGGAATGGGGAGGACTGGGGGGCAACATCAGGAAATAGATTAAATATAGGCTGCAAACTTTGCTATTTAAATTTCTGTATGTATTCTTTCTCTACCAACAAAAACATGGAAATTAAAAGTTATATCAAGAGGATTGAAATGACTCACACATAAGCACAGAGCCAGCTGTGGTAAGCGGTGAGAGGAGGGTAGTCAAGACCCCAGTAGTTTAAGTCATTGTCAGTGGTGTTAAAGTACCTGCAGAGAGACAATATGTTACCAGGGAGTTAGAACCGGGGTGACACAAATCTAGGATCTATGTCGATGACCACCAGAACAGAGGCAGACGTGCCATTGTTGCAGAGGAAGGTTGTAGGTCACTTCTTGCCAGTGTCTTTGGGCTTCATAGTCACCGAACATGGGGGGTTTACCTGCACCTGGGTAGAAACCATTGAGCTGTCAGATAAAAGAGCCGCTACTGATGACCGGAAGGGAGCAAAAACAACATTTGAAGGCAATGTAAGACTCAATAAAAAAACAAATAAAACCACACCGTGCGGCACATCTTCTAGAAAATATTTAATAAAACAATCAAAGCAGATGAGAGCTGTCTTGTGCAGGTTCACGTTCTTCTTACCTGAATATGAGTTTAATGACACGCTCCATCTCACCACGACAGCGAGTAAAACGCTAATTGATACCAAACTCCACGTTTGCATAACTCTGAGCGGTAAAAAACAAACTTTGTTTTAGAAACAACCGAGAAAAGAAGGTCCATTCAGACTCTTTGGGAATCTGTTTCCTGTATACGTCACCCACCAAGGCTTCGTTTCAGCAGCTCATTGGCCGAAGGGTTTGATGACGGAAGATGCGTTTAATAAAATTGGAATTGACAGTGAATCTGTCGCTCCATTAATAACGTTAAGAATATTTATAATGACACTTTTCAATATTCTGTGGCGGATTTTTTTTTTATTGTCTAGACTATAATGTTTTAAATATTTTTAGCACTGTAAAATAAAATAAATAGATACAATAATTACACTTCTTATTCCTAAGTGGAAATGCAATCATGTCCTTAAACATTTTACATTGTGTCATGTTACAACCTATATGTTTATTAGGATTATAGGCTCTATGATAAACCACACACAGATTTGCATAGTACTGAAGTGGTTAAAAAAAACAACAAAGTTTTGTTTTTACCAAGAAATTGCTGCCCACCCAAACTAACAGGGTGGGGAGAAAAGCAGGCAAAAGGATAATAGTAACTTTAGTGAGCATTTTTTATTTTTTATTTTTTTACATGGGTTATCGTTTTGTCATGAACTCAACATACCTGGTATTTATGGAAAGTGGCAAAGAGAAAACAATTATTTAAATATATAGATTTAAATGTATTCCCACCACTGACGCATTGTTGTAAAGGAGAGAACAATTCTTTCTTGATGAGTGCACAGTAGAACAATTTGGTGCAGAACAAAAATGCTTTTCTTTAGAAAAAAAAAATAAAAAATACAGACCTATAAAGACACATCCCCATACTGAAACATGATAGTAGCATTAAGCTACTAAGAAGTTTTTCTTCAGCTGAGACAGAGCATTTAATCAGAGTTGATTGGGAGATTGTTGGAGGTACAGAGCCTGATATAAGAAAGGAATCAGTTAGAGGTTAGGAAAGATTTAAAACTGGGGCGGAGGTTCACCTTCCACTGAGACAATATTCTTAAACTTAACCCCTAGAACCCTACGGACCCACCGGTGGGTCCAGCTGCTACGTGACCTCGTAATTTTAACAAACCCCCAGTATTGATGTAAAAAACACATTTGGCACAGTTTGGTGACATTTTTGGATAAATGTGCCAAAATGGCCCCTCCGCCTAAGAAATTTCTCACTAATATCATTCTAAAATAAATATGATTCATCTGATTGAGTCCAAATTTGGTATATTTTTACACAACATTTAGATTTAAAAGTCTGTACTACTGTTTTGTGCTATAAATAATATTTTGGTAGTGTTTTGCAATGTTTATTTCAAAGAAAATTTTTGGCGAGGTTAAAAAAATGCAAAATATTTTGTATTTTGTCCCTAATATTTCAGGCAGGGTCAAAGCTACAATGGTGCTGACACCAGAAAACCATTCTATGACATCTTACCTTTACAGAGGTACCAAAAGTTTCTTCTTAAATCTAATAGCTGTGAGGCTATAAGTGATTTACTTTTGTGTGTTTTTGTCAGGCAGAAATTTATTTAAACCCCCTGAGGGTGTAAGAGGTTAAAGCTTGAGCTACAGTGAAATGATTTAAATCAAATAATTAATAACTTAATGACAAGGCCATTCTGCATCATCTTTACACTTTTTTCCCCTCAAATAAGTACACATTTATTTTGTATAAATGTCAAAATATAAAAAAAGTGTCATGTTTTAAGCACATTTTATATTAATCACAAAGAGTTAAAAATTTAAACAAACATTAAACAACACAAGTTAAATATTTTAACATATTTTTTGTGTTTGTGTTTGCCAGGTACAGCTTTGGCAAAGGTACGGAAAATATGAAACGTTCTTCACCTCATCATAATCAGAGAGAACTGAGTCTCCTTCATAAAAACTTTGCTTTAGAACTAGTTTGTTTCTTTGAACATTTTTAAGATTAAGAGTTTCTTGTCTGAAACTTTAGAATGCTGCTAAATGAGTCACATAATAAATGGGATTAATTCTTGTATATTGTCCGTGAAACTTTGCTGTGATTTGTTTTATAACAGAATTTTGTGTCCTTTATTCATAGGTAGGTGAATAAGAAATGGAGCAGAGAGAGAAGGGGAGGACATGCTGCAAACAGCCGAGGTCAGCAGCTGAATCTAGCCTCAACCAAAGAGCAAGTTTTAAATAATGAAACACATTTAAAGGTTATAACTACAACTTTTTTTTTTTTAATCTAAATTAATAAAAAAAAAAAATACATCTACTGAAGGTCTAGAGTTGTGAAGAAAAAAGTATAAATTTTTCCTGAAAAAAAAATTGTATTTGAATAAATATTTTATACATAGTGACAATTTCAAAATACATATTTACTTACTTATCATTAGCAATGTGGTCATTAAAAAAGATTCTGCACCAATGGGAATAATAGGTTTGATGATAGCAAAGGGGCTCAGAAGGCACCCTAAGGTTGCTGCTTGTCTTCTGAACAGATACATTAGAGTACCTGGCAACTGCTTGGCAAACAGTATGAAATGAATGTGCCACTTAATGGCTGGGAGGGGTTACCCTTGTAGCTATCACCCTTAAATATATGAATAAATGTGTAATGTGTGTTTGAGATAACTCTCTCATTTGAACAACCAATATCAGACATGTCAGAGGAAAATAAAATAACATTGGTCAACATTTTTAGTAGCCTCTAAGATCAAGCTTAATGCCATCCTGTAATATATTACAGTCAAACAAGACAAGAGATAATTAGCCAGTGACAAAAAAAGGATTTTTGGACATGTCACGTGAGGCTTTCCTATCTAAAAACACTGTAACCACTTTGTGGTAGCCCTATGCTGTGGCATTATTTTCTGTGGTATGGTGTGCACAGCTTAGATTGAATAATCAAGAACTAATTCTTAGATATTTAGCTTCACCCTAATGCAACAGTTAGTTGATTAAATTCATGTAAAATACCAATTCTTCAAGAAGACAGGCCCAAATCCAGTCAAAGTTGTTTGTTTTCTGTTTAACTTCAATAACATAATTCCAGCCAAGTATTTTTGTATAAATTTAGGACTTATATATAACTTTAAATCTGTTTGTATTAAAAAAAAGTTCAAATAAGTAACAATCTGAAAACAGTGATGATGAACTGTTTGTATTTCAGATTCTTAGCTCTGAATGTTTAGATTGCAAAGCCATTGTGTCAATAGCTTAGTTTCAACACTTTTCAAAATAACTCTTATTATTTGATATTAAGGTGAAAATATTTGGCACCTTTCATGTACCATCAGAACTCTCTGTATACAGACAGTATGTTATGCTACCTCTTTCCCTCATAAATCCCAGCCCAAGGCCATTCCCTCCATGTGTGACCTTTTCTTCAGTTGACACCATCATCCTTGCTCTCAAGGTGTTAGGATTTGTTGGATGTGACATGTTACTTGTGGTTCTGCCATCAATTATGCATAAATAATAATAGCCTCACCCAAATGCTGATTTGCAATGACACTTGCATTCCGACGGCAGCAACCTATAACTCAGTGCTACCTATTATTAATGCCTGGCCATGCCAGTTTTACTTTGTCATTTATTGCTTCATCTCCATACCTTTTTAAATATTCAACAACTGATGTATGTTCATTTACTGTCTGTGTTCTCTGCCCAGAAAAGGCCTGTAGCCTCTGGTGGAGGACGACGTAGTAAAGATGGTAGGCCAAGGTTTTGCTGTTTACTCAGGAGAATATGTGAAGTTGGGTTATTCGTGTCAAGCTTTTAAATAGTTACTGCATCAAAGCCCCCATATTTAAACCCTCATTTTAATATCAATTATTAATATTAATTATTATTTAACTAACCGGCTTATATCAAATTTTTGTTATTTTACTACATTAAATCCCAAATGGCAAAATTATAATAAAGTAATCAAAAATAATACACAAATTCTACAGAATGGCTAGGGTGGTGCAGAATAACAGTATATGAAAATTTTTTTTTTTAGAAATACATAAATGTGTGATTATGGTTATGACGCAAACATTGACAGACAAAGAAGAAAGCTCAGGTGTGGCCGGATCGTAGCAGCTCCTGGTAGAGCTAATAAATTGTTTTTTCTCTGCGTTGCAATGAGTTGCATTTCTCAGATTCAAGTCGAAAAACAAAACAAAAGAGAAACCAGTAAGGTTATAGATTGGTCAAGCTTTTTGCTGTCAGTTTAAGGAAGCAAAGGGGCTTAGAAGCCACTTGAAGGTTTCCAACATTCTACCGGACGGGGAAGTTAAATTTTTGGTTTTGTTAGTATTATTATAAGTGGACCTGGCAGTCGGCTCACTAACAGTACAGAGTGAGGCTCCTGCTCTACCAGTAGTGAGACTGGATGCCGCACAGTAAAGGCTTCCTGACTCGGTACTCCTTAAGCGCCCCCACAAGACACCATGGAAGACCCAGTCGAATACCTTCTTCGGATCCACAAAGCACATGTGAAAAGGTTGAACAAACTCCTATGAACCCTCAAGCACCCTGCAAAGGGTGAGGAGCTGGTCCACTGTCCTATGCCTAGGACTAAAACCAAACCGCTCCTTCTGAAGCCGAGGTTTGACCATCAGCAAGACTCTTCTCTTCAGCACCCTGGCATAGGCCTTACCGGGTAGGTTGAGGATTGTGATTTTACATTAGTTTAAACACAATCTCTGGTCCCCGTTTTTATGCAGAGGATTGGAGAAAATGACCTACCACCTGAGGATCAAGTCCAAATACCTGAAACGACATTGGAGAAAGTGGGTTGATCGGCCTGGTGCCAGGTACACTGATTGACATCCTTATGCTTTAACATGGTGTTCATTATTGACAATCTCTGACTTGTTCAGAGCTGGGGGTCCATTCCTCGCTTTAACAGCAGGTGTCATGGGCGTTGAAGTACCCTAGCAGAGAAGAAGGCCTGCTACTCCATAATGCTGTTTGGCCCATAGGCCTAAACAACAGTTAGAAACCTACCCCCTGCCTGAAGGTGAAGGGATGTGACCCTCTCATCCATTGTCCATCTCGCCCATCCTCTCCCGGCAGGCCACTTCAGAGTATAACAGAGTCCAGCTAGGATTCAGAGCCCACGCTATGCGTGAAGGAGAGCCCGACTATTTTTAACCATATCGCTCCACCTCCTGCACAAGCTCAGGTTCCCTAACCCCGAGCGAGGTGACATTCCATGTCCCCAGAGCCAGTCTAAGCACCCACACATTGGGTCGCTGTGGCCTCCGCCTCTGACTGTTGCCCAATACTCTTCGCACCAGTTCCTCATGGTTCCCCTGCCAGTGGTGAGCCCACTGTGGGATAGACTTGCATCACCCCTTTGGGCTGGCGTCAGCTGGGTCCCGCCAGGCGCTCACTGACGAACTGACCGAACCCCAGACCTGGCTCCTAGGTGGAGTCCGCCATATTGGGCAACTTCACGTGCCTTGATTTTTTTTTTATCATCATGGGGTCTTTGCAAACCGCTCTTTGTCTAAACTGTCAGCCAGAGCCTATTTGTCTTGGGAGACCCTATCAGGGGCATATGAAACCCAGTCAACAAAGCCTCTTTGATCATTTAGGCACTGAAACCCTTCCAACATGTTATGGTGGTGGTTCAACGAAAGGTTTACATTAACTTTTAAAACATATTTATTTAGCACAGAATTTTCTCATAGAGCAGAGCTTCAGGGGTGTTTTTGTCCTTCTTTGTCTTTTCAAATCTTTTCTAAATTGAGGCAGATGGCCAGTCACACCGAGCTGAATTCTGCAGTTTATTCTTGTTAGATGTGAATTGTTTCTATTAATTGTTGCCACATGTTGTACATACTCTATTTTTTCAAAGATAACAACATTATGCAACTAATTGCCTAATAATGTCATTGATTGGACTGATTGCTGGAACAATAATCACTCTGTACCATATGCAGGGCTTCCTTATATACAGAACCCTTCACTGGTTTGCACAATAAACAGAGTTTGACAGCACTATACCGTCATATCATTACATTTTTTTTTAAATGTGAAGCCACATTTATGTTTAAACTGATCAAGTTATCTATTTTTAATAAAAACTGGATACTCATGTCTTGTAATGTGCCAAGAAATTATATTATTTTAGACCTGTGCCACTTAAATGAGTGGGAAAAAAATCTGAATTAAAACACAGGTGGTGTGTGTATATATGTAGATACTGTAAACATATGACTGTAAATTAGTTACAGTTCCAACACTCACGTTTTTTTTTATCCAATTATATATCATATATTATCCAATTTTATATATACATATATATATATATATATATATATATATATATATATATATATATATATATATATATATATATATATATATATATATATATATATATATATATATATATATATATGTACAGATGGATGGATATTAATGGATATCAATTTAGAAAAGGAATAATTATTATTTGTATTTGTATTTTGATTAAAAAAAATAGTAATCAGTGGACAATGTTTATTTTCGCATAGCAACAATCAACCCCTTTTCATTGCTGTCCAGCTTTGTGCAAGCTTCTGTTTCCTACTCATTTCAAGCTTCCTCAAAAGATCAATAAAGATTTATATTGACATTATACCTTGACCAGCCCAAAAGGTTAACATTACCTCTTACTTTTTACCTTTTTCTCTTTTTAAATGCTCTACTAATAACTGAAATCATCACATTTTTCTAAAGCTTAACTTGGTATGGTGTGTATGATAATTGTTAAACATATAACAGAACCCGTTTTGTGAAATAATAATTGAGCTTGAATGCTTTAAAACTTTATTTATTTATAGATGCTGATGGTATGAAAACAGAAGTTATTTAGATCTAATCCTTCGTTTCATATTTGTCTCAGCTTTGATATCCATTTTTAAATGTGGCATTTTAAAAGGCTGGGACTGATAAACAGATTCCAAATGAATTAGCTCAGAGAGCCTCAACACAGTTTGCTAAAGCAGTGTGAGAGAGTTCAGTGCAGTTTATTGTATTTTTATTGTATTGTATTTTCAGTGAAATTTACAAAGGCTTTGAAAAAGAAAATGTTTTAAGATGATGCATGAGTCAATCTTCTGTAGAACCACATTTTGTTATAATTGCAACTAAGGAGGTTTTGGTTCATGACTCTACCCCCAATGCACAATAGAGGTTGATGATACTTTCATCAGTTAAAAGCAATTTTCAATTGGTTTTAGATCTGATTTTTAGATCTGAGGCATGGATATGCTAAATCAATTTAAGCCAATTTTATTTCTAAGCACTAAAAACAGCACATCTGAGTAAAGTACTGAACTGGCAGCATCTAATAGCTCTTGATCAGATTTTTGACTCTGCCAAAGTCTACCACTGCCACTTTCATGTTTCCCCATGGGGTTGGTATAAAAAAAACATATTTTTATAAATTATTTATTTATTTATTTATTTTTTGGCTAATCCCCCATAATAGTCAGGTTTTTAGAGTACGAATAATTGTAATTGTGACTATTCTCCTTAACAGGGTTTTGTCCTTGTAGAGTTTCAGGTTTGCTTTTCCATTTCCATTTTAGATAATGGATTGATAACCCCGGCATGAATGTTCCCACAACCTGTCTGCATTTCTTTAGTCTGCAGTGCACTTATGTCCTCGAAGCTTTCACAGAAAAACTTAAACCACTTTAATTGGGCCCATTTATTTAATGAAAGCTGAATATGATTGGCCTCACTATACTTTTTTGTAATTCTGCCAAAATAGATGCACACCAGGCTATTCAAATATTTGTAAGTAAAAATTATTAAAATCCTGCATCATTTTCCCTCCTTACAACCCTCTGCTAGGTTGTGTTGTTCTAAGAAAGAAAAACGTTTTGGGATTAAAAAAACAAAACGTGTTCAACACTTTTACACATGGATATACTGAACTTATATTATTTGACAACATTTTACTATATAGGCTACCTTTAGAGATAAATGAAGTTGCAGTGAAATAGCCTTAATCCAAATATGAATACAAAAATGACTATATTTTGATATTTTATTTTATTTTTTTCAGATATTTCTGTCTTTAGTATTATTAGGCAACTGACTATTAGGCAACATAATAGAAAATAACAAGGACGTGATTTTTAAATCAATTGATTTTTATTTTTTTCTATTTTTTATCTCTAGACACTAAGGAGCGCCCCCTAGCGTAGCTTAAATTGTAGCTTCACCAACGCTATGTCCCACTTAAATTATTGACTATATATTCAATGGTCCAGCGGCCTTTCTCTCTTGTATAAAAGTTATTTTTTTATATATTTTATTTTTATTTATTTTTTTACTCTTCAAAGGCTAATTTATCTTTGCAAGCGAAATCTCAGATAAAACAGAGCAAATGCTTGGCTTGATGCGACTGAGCATCAAATAATTGTAATCCAAGTCATATAAAATAAAACCATGTTTCTCATTTACCCCAAACTAAATCCTTTATTTTTTTTTTATATTTAAATTATATTCTAAATTATTTTTATTTGTTGAGGATAAAATATTTAAGAAAGTTTGGAGAAAAAAAATGTTTCCCCTCTTCTCCGCCTTAATTGGTTTTGAAGCTTGACGCGCACCGATGAGCAACATATTGACACATGATGTGTATTTATGAGGTAGCCTAATATTGTTACATGCATAAATCTAACCAGAAAGAGGGAATGTTTTCCGTCAGAACAGATTCCTTTCATCAGAAGCACCTCTGCAGGAGCGGGAGCAGACAGAGAAGCCCTTTCCCTTTTCCCATGGGGATCGGATAAATATAGCGCCTCACACACACACTCACCATTTGCTGTTTGTCTAAACGCGATCAGCCAGACACAACTGCGAAACTGTTACCTTTATGGTGGCCAAGCCGCAGAATATTCTGTAATCTGATCTGGCTGTGATGTGATGGGAGATGAAAATATGAAAATAAACTGTGACCTCAGGCCGAGGATCGTTGGTCGGAAACCTGGAAACATATTTGTTTCAACTAACCTACTTATGTGTTTGAAAAATTGCTATCCAAAATATATTATAAACATTTATTGCTGTCTTTTTTTAAATTTTGATACATTTTTTATTGCTTGACGATTGATATTTTGCGCAAATATTATTATTTAACTACTCTACTGATCTTTTTCTGTGAAATTTGAATATTATGTGAATAGAAATTAGTACCACTTGTGTAGAAAAATAATTGTTACTATTAGATTTCACATTTATAAATTTGTTGATTTAAGCTGTAAAGTTACAACAAAAAAATAGATAATAAGGTTCATAAAAAGTTGTGCCATTTTGTCCTTCTTTTAAAATATCCAAAACCATTATTCTTAACGAATATAAACAATAAATATCACTGAAGATTAAAAAAATATATGTTTTACATTATTTTTATTTATTAGGGTTTTAATTATTTTCTTTAATAAATGGTTATAAACAAAAAATGTTACTCTTATTTATAAACAAAATATCTAATATCTAATTATCACTAGACCAAATCTCCCATTAGAATTTCGTTAATTGTAATTTCTAAAAGAAATGAAAGTAGTTTTAACTTTTTCATAAATTTATTTACAAATAAATTCAGTTTACAACACCAAATAGCTACATAGAATTACATATATTTGTTTTTTAATCATTATTATTATTATTATTATTATTATAAACAGTCTTTTTGCACTTGTTCGTGTCTTGTATGAAATGTGTCAAGTCAATCATCCAGTAGAATATAAAAAAAAGAAAAATCGAAATAATTATCACAGATCTCAAACAGGAACAAAGGACAGCTAAAAGTCAAATGAGTAAAATTTTTCTCCCTTTTTTTGAAAAACAAATATTTACAAATGTTACCTGTACATAGAAAGCCTACTTTCCTTTTCTCTGTATTTCAAGTCTTTTTTCATTGTATTAGAGTCCAATGCTGTCTATTTATTTGTGCTCTCCAGTGATAAAGTCTCTATAGAAAAATAAGAGTTTTTTTTTTTTAGTTTTTTCTTGGTTTGAGTCACTGTGAGGGCCATTTGGACACTGCCGTCGCTGAAGGTAAAACGTGTCCAGAAATAATGTTTGAAGGGACGCTGAGTATAGGAGCGATAGCAGCAGAGGTCCGGGTCAGAGAGAGAGACTGCGCGCTCAGCAGGGCCGACTGAACGGTGACAGGAGGCCGCAGGAAAGCCTGCGCGGCGCCGGGCGTGACGGATGACGCGCTGGAGACCCCGATAATGTTCTCTATGCTGAAGGACGGCCGGTTTGAAGGTTCGGATTTGATCATGGACGCCGTGCTTAGGCTGTTGAGCTGCAGCTGGAGACTCGGGCTCAGCTGAGAGTTGAACGCTTTTCTGTTGAGCTCCGCCGAGGGCAGCAGGGGGACGCCCGGCGGCAGCATGTGACCCACAGGTGGGATGTAGGGATACTGCAGAGCCGCCGGGTGGGAATAAGCCGGGTGGATCCCGTAGTGTCTGCCGTATGGGCCTCCGAGGCTGTACGCCCCGAAACTCTGCATCATGAGCGCGGTCTGATCCCTCAGCACGTCCGGCTGGACTCTCTTGAACCTTTTCCTCCTCCTGAGGAAGCTGCCGTTGTCGAACATGTCCTCAGAGGCCGGGTCCAGGGTCCAGTAGTTGCCCTTTCCGGGGTTGCCGGGTTCCCGTGGGATTTTCACGAAGCAGTCGTTCAGGGATAAGTTGTGCCGGATGGAGTTCTGCCACGCAGGGAACTTCTCCCGGTAATAGGGGAAGCGGTTGCTGATGAACTCGCAGATCCCGCTGAGGGTGAGCTTCTTCTGCGGGCTTTGGAGGATCGCCATGGTGATGAGAGCGATGTAGGAGTAAGGCGGCTTTACCAGGCTGCTCTTGGGCTTCTGGATCACTCCTCCTGGCGCTGCGCTCTGGTCATGACCTTCTCCTTTCCCTGCGCCCGATTCCCCTTCCCCGGAGCTCTCGCAGCACGGGCTCCCTCCCCCGGACCTCATCTCCTCCTTCTCCACCTCGATCTCGTCCTCCAAGTCATCGTCAACCGTTTCTCCGCGAAAGCCGTGCAGGATGCTTCCTCCCCCCGGGCTGTCACAGTCGCTGTCCACCCTCTCCATGCCCTCATCGTCTCCTTCGCCCACCACGTCTATATCCACGTCCTCTGCTGTGAGCACAGTTTGGCCGGACATGTCGCTGGCTCGATCGCTGCCTCCAGAGAGGGTCATCTCACGGCGGACTCGCACTTTAATGTAAAAAAATTGGATAAGGAAAAAAAACTCACTGGGAAAAGCTGTGGAGCGGCAAGTGCGCGCACACCAAGTCCTCCGCTGTACCAAGAAAACAGACTGGGTAAAGTTCTGCAAAACTTCAACCCTCTAGAAATAGTCCCTGCTCTGAGAGTGAGCGGGCCTGCAGAGCGGTGCGTTTTTGCATCAGTTGTCTGGAGAGAAAGCGCAACTTTTCTTCTCCCTATTCGCGCTTCAGTGTCTCATCAGCAGCGGTGCGCCTCCCGTAACCAGCGACTCGAAATGACACACACTGCTTTTTAGAAAAAGACTGGAGCTTTTTAGCAGGACTGACTGATAGATTACTCGCCCCCTCCCTGTATTAGATATACTATCAGAGCCGAACACGTGGTTTAGTGACGCCACACCCCCCCCTCACCACCTCTCATCTCTCTTTTGCTTCCAAAGCCTTGCTCTCTCCGTGAAAGCATGCAAACTGGAGTTGTTTCGTGGATTTGTCAACAATGGGGCATCAGCAGAGCGCTGCTTTCCGCTGATTTTCCGTGTTCTTCCGTCATAGACCATTTAACGTTTGCGGTGGGAGGAGGAGGAGAAGGAGGAGGAGGGGGAGAAAATTGGCCTGCATGAGTGAAAGATCTGATGCGCTCTAACGTGGCTGCGCAAAAACAACCTTTAACTTTTGTTAATTCGAGCACTGTTGACAGCTGCAGAGCAGCAACGGCGACAGCTAAGTTAAAGGAATCTGTTTTATTAAGTTCTGTGTTTTTTTTAACCTTTTTAAACTGGGTGCAATTGTGCATGAGGAAGATTGTATTTCTGTGTATATTACTGCTTTATCTTTTTGTCTGTTGTGAGCCTGCGATGCAGCGCTTGATGTTTGCATTAATACCTAGACCCCGCAGAAAAAAAGAAATCAATGTGCTATAGCACAACACATGATTTCCAAGTCTATTTATTCCTGCAGGATTAGTGGAAGAACGTGAAGAAGCAGCTGCTGCAGCATCGAGCATGAATGTTGGGGGAAGAGGAACGGATTTCCTTAACAGTTTAGTAGAGGTGCAAACGACCCTAATCATTGCATGTGTTTGCATTTGAAAAAAACTAGGAAATGTAGGCAGCGGGTGAATGCAAAGAGAGGCATTTTTTATTCACGAGCTTGGTGACTAAGGTTGAGTTGGGAAAAGAAGCGATCCTGGCTTTTGGGCGCTAATATTTGCAGTTTATATTTTGCAGAAAAAAATTATATATTTTTTTTATTTTAACTGCGGCAAAACCAGGCTAAGAACATATGTGATTAATCAGGGAACTGTTTTCTTATTAATAAAAATATAAATTTAACGAAAAATTCTCGCTTTAAAATAGAAAAAGATAATTCATATTTATATTTCATTTTACTATTGCTAGAATTGTAGTATTTCCATTTAATAATATGTGAATTTCGTGTTTTATTAATCCAGTCATTGGTTAATCGGTTATAAAAACAGATTAAAACAGAACAAGAGTTTAATTGGATTATCTCATTTATGAGTTTTATAGAGTGAACATTTTCTTTGCCTGTGCCGTTTTATCTGATCCTAACAGAACTGCGCAGAAAAGCGCTTCTCGTTTTGACACTTTTACTGCTATACGGGATAAAAGCAGATTAATCAGAATATATCATTAATAACGTGTGTTCGGGTCAGAGGGACGGAAACCCGCTCTCAAATTCTCCTGTCTAATCCGCTGCTGACCTGTGAGATCCTTAGGTCCGTCAATACGGACTACTTAGTAGATGAAACCAGAGTCAACATTCATGCTGTTCATCCACGTTGCGCGCGTGTTTAAGAAATCGCTCATTTGTTTGCTGCTTTTCTAAATGCCAACACGCACCTTTAATATATATATATATATATATATATATATATATATATATATATATATATATATATATATATATATATATATATATATATATATATATATATACAGAGCAATTTACACATAAATATTTTTTTATTTTAAAAACTATGTAAATGTAGGCATGTTCCACAAATAGCCTATGCAACATTAAATGATTTGAAAATCCTCAGAATTGTTATTATTATTTATATTATTTGTCCTTTCATACTGCAAGCAGAAACCTCTCTTTAACTGATTTTGTTTTTTGTCTGGCAGGTGCAGCAAGAACAGCCTGCCCAAGGCATAAGAAAACCAAACTCCAATGAACTCCACCATGTTCTAATGCCAGCAGGGGGCTCTACACTGATCACCTTGACTTACAATACAGATTTCAGATAAAAAAATAAAATAAAATAAAATAAAATAATAAAATAAAAAAATCTTCAAATTATGTCTAGAATTTCAAATTAAAAAATTTAAAATTTTCTTTAAAGATTTATTAAAAGAAATCAAAACAAATACAATTCTACACAATTTAAGCATTTGTTAAGCTCTGAAAACATCAAATAAAGCAGAAGATAATTAAATATCCTCATATATTTTCTACTGTATATAAATGAAGTGTACATTTTATTGTCTCTAGTTTTTCTGTTGTGCTGGTTATTTTTTAAACTGTTGTCTAATTAATATAATTAACCTGTTACATTTAGTTAAATTAAAAAGTTCAATTTCAATTTCACCAGTAGGCTATATTATAATTTCTTACACATATATTTATATACGCCCACTATATATTCCTGGTGTCTTTGTATTGTGTGAAGGCAGTGTAGTTACCTGCTGATAAAAGCTCACTCAAACAGCACAGAACGAGTGGGGGCTTTCAAACCCGTCCTTCCAGTGATCTTTTGAAGCCTCATAAATCCGCTTTTATACCTCCGCAGTTTGTTAATGAAATGTGCGTTTCAAGCACACATGCGCGGCTTAGCGCGACAAAAACCTTTTAGTATAACAAGCCATCTTGCTCCTGCATGAAACCGTTGGACACAGAAGAGATGCGGCTGCAGATCAGATGATGGAAACAGCGTTGGATAAACTATAAACCCACCACCAAGGTCGCTGATATAACAAATAATTGTGATCATAATAAGGTGCTGCTCTGGTGAACTCTGATGAATAGACCCCCCCCCTCCCTCCCTTTAGGTTTTATTTGCTGCAGCTGGATCTAGAGGTCAGGGTCAACTTCTGAGACATAAGATCAGTGTTTGAAATTAGGTATTTTGGGTTTGACAGAAGTTTAAAATATATTATTTCTAAGCATCTTTGCACAACTATTAAAAACTTTTTGCATTTTTTGTATTGATTTCGAAACTGTCTTACATTAACTTGTAGCAGGATTCTGTGCGTCTTTTTTCCTGATGAGCAAAGTGCAACCCTCTCTGGAGGTACTCACTCAATTCAGTTAAATGCATCTTATCGCTATTTTACACAGATATGATGAATTAATGCATTATTGGCGTGTCTGTAATTACACTAATTATTTGAAACCAGACGCAAAATCGTCACCCTGTCAGGTTTAATAAGAAACAAAAACCTCAAGCTTGAACTTAAAAAAAAAAAAAAATTTGCACAATAATATGGAATGTATTTCTATCCCACAAATTGAATGTTTCACATCGGATAATGTGGATTTGGGGGATCTCTGCAGGAGAGATGAAAGCAGGGCAAGGTTTGTTTCCTTTCTCCCCAGTTTTATTTTTGGGAAAATCTCCATCTTTAGCTTCTTCCATAGAGGCCACTCCATCAAGCTGCGAATGTGTCAAACAATATGACGGAGCTCATCTTTAAGCGCTCCTCCTGCTGGATGTACGGCACGTTTCTCTATCACACCAGAGCACCGATGTAGGGCCAGACACAGAGCCGCGCGCTGGCTCATGCGCGCGCGGGACTTTGCGCGTGACAGATTTTCTGCATGTTGGAGGGCCCCATTGTGGATAGAGGAAGAAAAAATAAAATTCCTGACTTGTTTTTGTGTTCATTTATTTAATCTTTTTATTGATTTGGATACGTTAGATAGTAAAATTGCGATTTTATTTTATGAATTAAATTCGAATATGATTAATTTCCCTTTCCACAATTTTACACCCGTCTGACTTTTCACTCTTCACAGGAAAGATTTTTTTTTTTTTTTTTTATTCTTAATCAAATAATTTAGGCCTAATTTTGTCAACATCCATGTTTTATAATTAGTTTTCTATAAGTCATTTGTCTTAAAAAATGTTTGCAACCTGACCGCCGCTGATAATCCTGGTCCCTACGAATGAAACTCAAACTTGGAGGGTTTTCCGCTGCTGTTGGTGGGAAATTGACACCTCCAGCTAAATGCAGCTGGGGATTACCATGCCAATGTATATTTGTTAAACACTTGCAATGACACCCAGTTTGTAGCTCTTTGTCATTCAGATGGGGACTGAAAGTGAGGCATCGGGATATTGTCTTGCTGTGTGAGGGCACGCATGAGGCAGTTTAAGGCCACAAACACGTGTGAATTGGCCCAACTACTTTACGCACAGGCAAAACACGCAGTCTAGCTCACTCTCAAAGCGTTGTTAGCGTAAAAACGACAATGAACCTTTACCTAAGAAGCCAACCGAGATTGTCTCAAAATTTTGTTTGTTTTTCCTAATAGCTCTTAATAGGACCAAGACTGATCGATCAACAAGACAGTTTGCTCTTATTGTTTACAATAAAAATAGGCCTGATGATTAATATATGCTCGAAAAAGTTCTCAGTTTTCAAAAAAACAAAAACTGAAAGTCATCTAATCCTAAATTATATTAAGATATATATTATTTTCTTCTGCACAAATAATGAAACATCTCAACAGGACACTTCCTCAAGAAGCTTACTTATAAAAATGTGCACCCTGCAGATTTTCATGTTTGCATATGAGCCAGGTTTAAAAGGACCTTTCATTCAGCACGACCCTTGAACTCAATATCCTCTGCCTATTGATGCATACATTTATATCTAACATCACAGTAAATTACCTTATGCATTCGCCTGTCCTGTACCCATAATAATGTTCCTTCACCTAATCTGTCAGGTTCCACTCTGAGACACTTTACCTCTTGTCGAACCCAATTACTGCAGAAGATGAGAAAGGGGCAAAATGTTTGGGCTTTTCAGAGAAACATGTTTGGATTCAAGGTTCTCTTTATTCAATAATATGCTGAAAGCAGAAAATGAGACATGTGTAAAATAAAAATATCTAAGTAAATGGACTACTGTAGTCATATTTTCATACAGGCTTTTGATATTAAAAGCAATGCTTTCCGCACTATTTGTGATTTGCTTCATAAAAGTATTCTTGTCTGTTGTTGGGATGTGGACTTGCACATCTTATCAAAGTCATTGTGCTGTCTCTTGAAATTAGGGACAGCACCTCTGTATTGTCAATTACACAGAGGTT